CAGGTTGAGCCTCTGGAGTATCTGCTAGAGCATTCCCAAATGATCTGGCAGGTCAATGTCCATTCAGCAGAGGGTACTGGTGTACACACACAGCACCCCATCAGTTTCTTGATTCTGGAAAATCTTTCTCTTTGAGAGATAAGAAAGAAAAGGAATATCAGACAGGCGCAACCATTAACAGAATGTTCTTCAAAACGTTGAATATGTGTCTATATAGATGTCTGTGGGCAGATATCTTCTTTAACTGTACTAAACAGCATACAGAAAGGTTAAAAGTGTATTTCACCATTCTTTTTTTTTCTGTAAATATATTAATATCAACCATTTCCAGTTAATCCAGATGTCTCTGTTGCACCTAGAATTATGTATTTACCCATTTACTAAATTTGTTTAAGCAATTCTTGCTAAAAAGTCATGAGCTGTCACAGGTTAATGAAATGTTAAATGGGTAGCATGGGCAATATGCATGCACATGTACCATTCAGCCATGGAGGTACATATTCCTGTTCCACAGGAAGACAACTGGTAGAGGATGATGGCTGTTATGGTAGTATCACTGGTGAAGGGTGAGCACCTGACTCAGAGTGGTGACATTGATGCAGAGCACTGGTAGCACATTTAGTCTTTTTGGGGAAAAAGAAAACTAACATGAAAACTCTGGGGAATTGAGAGGAATAAACCTTCAACTAAGAAGGCCTTTTTTTGACATTATTTGAGTATATGGGCTGACATGGTGGAGTCAAGCCACAAAAGCAAATTATGTTTGAGTGTGAGTGCCTTGGTGCCCAGGAAATAGATTTTGGGGGTTTTTGTCACGGTGCTTTTAAATGTGGAATGACCAGTCAGTTTCATGTTACCCGGTGTCAAAGTTACCTGTGGATAGTGACAAATACTCTACCTTTTCCATCTCTAATAACTTTCCCTCTTCGTAGGAGCCCACATGGGACCTGGTCCAGCTTTCCAACTTCCTCATGTCTTTGACTGTTCAAGTACTGCTTTCATTGCTATCAGCCACTGAAGTGGCTAAATTTGAGGAATTTTTGTGTCCAGAAAGAAAGGTTCACCAAGTGTCAGTATAAAATTTACGTGTGAGGTCTATGTCATCTTACTTCTAAAATACTTAACTTAGTAAGACCTATTTGTTATAAGTGCAGAAAGAGAGACCTGGTGATAAAGCCTCAACACTACCTAAGGGAGGTGCATCCATGCTGCTCTAAAATAAATTCTGCTAAAATTAAGATATTTTTAAAAGATGGCTGGATTTAGGGGGGTTTGGTGGCCATAATATTTTTGACTCACCTCTGGAAGCTATCTCATGGCAAAATGGTGAAAGAGCAACATTAAACTCTCCTGTTGGAAGGTCAGCACCCATGGAGAATGGGCAACATCGCATATTGCTAGTAATTAATTTCCAAAGAATAGTTCTTGCACACAGCTGTTGTTCTAAAAGAAGCCAATATAAATTGCCTTCATATGACAGAATACTTGTAGCCACATGCAGCCATACTAACTTCAGAAGATTTCTATGCTGACATAAAGATTTTGGGATTAGACCTAAATGCTACCAGGAAAATAAATAAATAAGCCCTTTTTTCCTTATGGCTACAAATACTCTAACGTTTTCAAGGAACTAATTCCCTGCTAAGAGATTGAAGATGCATGTAACAATTAACTGAGGATGATTTCTGGTCTTTTGGAGAAGAGGTGTGACTAAGAAAAACCCTGTTGGCTGTTTTACTTGGGTTGAGTGTTGAAAAAAAGAAATGAAAATTGTTTGTGATAGAAAACAAATAAAAGAGAGACTATCAGTCTTCCCACCTGAAAAAGCTATTTTTAATTTATATGGTATTTCAAAGTTTGCAGATGACAATATTTGTGTCTTCCCAAAGAATCCTCAGTGGTACTTAAGGAAGTAAGGATGTTGGGAAGCCGTTTTAGGATTAAAAGGAAATTTAAAACCAAAACCAGGCCCTTGGCAAAAAAGAGGCAGAGTGTTTTGATTAATGAAGCATTCTCAAATAAGAATGGCCAAACTGTTGGGATTAGTTTTAGGGCCACTGTCATTTCTTATAAATTACTCATAAGGTGGGAGGAAGAGCAGAATATAGATTTGCTTGTGTCATAAAATGCATTTAAGATCAAACAATCCAAATGACTGATAGAATTCAATAGGATTTGTACAGATTAGAGAGTGAGGATATAAGGGGGAGAAAGACAAAAAAATTTACCGCGCAATGGAAATGGAATTCATGACATACATGTATTTTATCACATCAGGTCCAAATCACATATCTTATAAAGTGGTGTCTTAGTCCCATATATCATCTGTTTTTCTAATAAAACTTATATCTCTTTATAGCCCCTTAAGCTGGCAAAGCTTGACTACAGAATGGACAGTTTGTGTCTCTAACCTAGTTATTCTACAACTTGATGGCTTTAGATAATTAGAAGGTAGAATTTATGAAATACATTGTTCTGGGAGAATTACCTCATCCTGCCCCATGTAGTTCTTAATGTGTACAAACAGGAATCTGCTCCCCAAAATCTGTTGTAAAAAACATTAATGTTCTGCTGCAGAGAGGGATACAAAATTAAGCATGTCTCACAGGTCCAGCACTGGAACAGGCTGTGCAAAGAAGTGATAAATGCTCCATCCTTGGCAGTGTTCTAGGCCGGGTTGGACAGAGCCTTGGGTGACATGGTCTAGTGTGAGATGTCCCTGCCCATGGCAGGGGATTAAAACTGGATGATCTTACGATCCTTTCCAACCCAAACCATCCTGTGAATCTATGATGTAAGTCCAGTCAGCCATAGTGAGGGACATGAAAGTAATTCTGGGAAGAACCGGTGATTTTTGGTTTTAAGGTGCTGGAAAGCAAGCTTGTTCCTTCTTTCCTTTTATGTAGGTGTTTTTAAGGTCTTTGGAAAGCATCTGCTGGCATTGAGGTAGAACCTAATTCTTTAGGCATGGTGAAAATCTTTCTTGTCTCCCATTTAAAGGAAACCCTCTCATTCATGACTTTGGCAGCAGGATTGCTGTTTGGTCCCTTTGCTTTGTTTTCATGGCAGAACACTTTACAATCACGGTGCAAAAGTTCTTTGTGCTGTTGCACAGAATACATACCAACTTTGTGGTCCTCATCTTGTATTTTTTTCTAAGTGGAGCATTTCTGGGTTGCAATAATAGCATGTTACATGTCAGAAAGTGCTTGGAAGTCATTTAAAAGCAGGAGACAGTAACGACGTGTTTCTACAAATACTCCCCAAATCAGTGTTTGCTGTGTGAAATGAATGCATACATTTTACTAGAATAAAATCACTTGAGGAGAAATTAGAAGTTAAATCTGACTTGGAAGCATCCATCTTGTCTCTTCCTTCAATTTGTTTAACAAATTTGGTTAGGGATTTTTAGTTTTTCTTTTTTGGTGTTGGTCTTATTGAACTCCCAAAGGCAAGAAGGCACTCATGCTTTCAAGACCTTTCTTCTACTAAAGATTGTAACCTTTGTTTCTTTCATCCACTCCATTTGTCTTTCCTATTAAGTCACTGATAAGACTGCAGTGGTGGAAGACCTAATGATTCATAGGCAAAACTCATAGAGCTTGTTGTATGCTTAAAATGCTTGATTTACAGGTTTTCCTAAATTCATGAAAAGCCTGTAAAAGGGGATTATTGGATTGATAGCAACCTAGTATGGTCCTGATGAGACATTCCTAATGTATGCAGATATATTTTGAAAAGATGAATTAATTCTTGGTCAGTCACTGTGGAGAACATGATTTAGTCGATAAAAGCTCAGTTTTCTGCGGCTCTAAGTGCAGGAGTAGTAAGACTTTGAAGAAATTAGTTATGTGAAATATTTCATATGAAAATTTAAACTGTTCTGGCTTTCTCTCTAATGCAGAAGAAGAAGCAAGCAGGCAGTGTGGTGCCTGCAATTATCTTAGAGAGCTTCTCTTTGTGTAAAAGGATCTGTGAATATATCTTGAGACTGTGTGCCAATTTGTAGAGTTTATAGCACTCCCATTCCCTTTGTACTCTCTGGGTATTTCTAGGTTGCAAAGTTGCCTACATAACCTGATCTAAAGTCATCTGAGCCCTACTTACTCCTTTGACATTTTGATACTGTTACTATATTCCGCTTTTGTTTCCTTGCTATTCATGAACTTTCTATTCTGTAGAGTGGGTAATTTAATGCTTGTGGCCCTTCCTGCCCCCATTTCTGTACCGATGCTCTTCATGTCAGTCTTTCTTGAGCAAGCGAAGAGTCCCTAGTATTCCTTTAGGGCTGCTTCAGCAAGAGGGATGAAACCTCTAGATCTGTTGAAAATCTGTTCAATGCCTGCAGGCTAGGTATGTGGCAGCCAAACAGCTCACTAGCAGCGAGAGGGTGAGAAAGAAGCTTGGGGTCATGCTGAATGTTCTGGGTTTTCGCTGGAGGGGATGGTAAATGTCTGCACTCAGAGTTTATTTAGTTCTGTATGAATTATTTGCTATTTCTGGTCTTTCTTTCTAACTGGAGCAGAGAAGCAGGGCCTATTGTATGAAGGAGTTAGAGCCCTGAGGCTGAGGTACGGACCATGGATATACCAGGCGACAGAATTGTTGCTTGCCTGTGCGCCTTGGGAATGAACCCAAAATGAGAACCAAGTAAAACCTCTAATATCAGGAGCTATCAGAGTTGTGTCTGAAGGGTAGTGAGGTACATGTTAGTTAGTTACTTTGCACTGATACTGATATCACACAATACTTGCTCTTCTCTTACAAGGCTATACAAAATGTTCAGTGATCATGTTTTACATTTAATGTACACAAAATCATATTTGAGTGAAAGAGTAATTTATCAATGCTATAAATCTGTTAATTTGAGATAAAAGCCAAAAGATTCAAGAATGTGATCACATACACTCTTTAAATTATCAGTTTTAATGTCATTTTAGCAGCTATATGGAGCATCTCTGCATGTTGCTTCAGAAAGCATGCAGTGTAAATAAGAGTTTTATTAGGATGAATTTTCATATGTAGTCGTGAAAGGAGAGGTCAAGATGAAGCAGTTTTACTATGGTGCCATGTGGTGCTCTGTCATGAGTCTCATAAAACCCTGAAGCAGTTTTTATGTTGTTCAGGTTTTTACTGAAGATTAGAAGGAGAGAGGAGGATTTACGGTTAACAGAAAAGTGATCACGTGTTTCTTGTTCATGTTTGTTTTTCTTATTGAGATAGATATTGCACAGGTTTCTCCCCTTGTGTGACTCTATTGTTGTATCTGATCTACAAAATGAATTAGGTCTGTTCTACCTAAGTGGAACAAAAAAATGGATTAATTTAAATCTCATAACAACATGCTTTACAAATAACCAGAGGCAAGAAAAGCAATTAATGCTTTAGGTTAAAGGTAAGCCACAAGATTCATAACAATGTTCCTAACCTGTTGTAAATTTACTGTGAGATTGCATCTTTACTCAGTCATGAAAAGTAGTGTTCTGAACATTGTTTTGCCTGAGAAATATCTAGCTTTTACGTATTTCAGAGGAAAACTCTCTTTGTCTAGTTTGGCGAGGGTAGAGAATCCTCTTCAGACACATAATATCAAAATGAAGCAGGTATCACTAGAGCTCATGATCTTTCTGGAAAGCAAAGTTGGTCAGGCAGCAGCAGCAGCTGGATGCTCAGCTGGCAGAAGGGCCTATGGACGTAGGCTGGTAACCATCTACTTGTGATTGCCCCAACTATGCCTTACCTGCAGCAAACAAAGTGCTGTTTTCTAGGGCTGGAATCGTGGTTCATTGGCTGAAAATTCTTCAGCTTGGTCCTGAAATATTTGAGAAACAGATTCCCAGTAACAACAGGGTCACTCTGGCCGTGTTCAATGTCATCTTTTGCTTTCAGGACTCCTGTAATGAAAATTATTGAGCTTTCCAAATCCACCTTGTTTTGTTTTGTTTTGGTTTTTTTCTCTGTAATAGGACAACTATGTAAGGGGACAGATTTGCCTTAAAACTTAGCTGGCAAGTGTAATAAAAAATTAATCATTTGGGAAAACTGCTTTAAATGGACTAGGCTTAGGTAGCCACCTCAGGTTGGAGGCTTGATACCACCCTTTGAAATTTGTTGGAAATGCGAAATCAAATCTTGATGACAGTGCTTTACTTAGTATCTAAAACGGAAAGCCTCCTCTTCTGATGAAAAGATTTCTAAAAGCAATCAAAATCCCTAATGTTTATAGTTTCAAAACGTATCTGAGCTTGTTCATCATACTGGGGAAAACTGGAAAACTAGTAGTCCTTTTGGGAATATTATATATTTTTGGAGGGCAATACAAATTACTATACATTTTAGACACTATAATCGATAACCAGAACATTATTTTTTAGAGGTCTGCTCAAACATAGAATCAAAAAGTGACCTATATCCTTAGCAGAGTTGAAAGAAAAGGCAAGACAATTAATAAAGGGAAGTAATCACAAAGGGAACCAAGGGAAACAATGGAATAATATTAGTCAGGATGACAGGCAGTTGTATCGGTGGACATGCTGTTTTCATGGCAAGAGAGAGTTATAAGGGAGAATTTTAATGAAGCAATCAAGAGGTTTATGGGAAGCTCCTCCTACAGATAATGAAAGAGCCCCTGAAAGTGAACGCCAAAATTATTTTCCTAATCTTTCTTTTTGTTCCTTTTTTCTCCCTTCTCATTTTAGAGTTTCAGTTAATCTGCAGAATGTGCAACTTGAGACAGCAGCTACAGCAGGCTCTGTGTTAACCCAGACACCTTGTACCTGCATTTGGCACGGTCTGTGTAGGTTTTTTGTATCATGTTAAAAACACGGTTCAAAAAGCAAAACGGTCTTCCTTGTTTTTCTAGCACCATTGTGTAACACCACAAATGTTTGACCCTTATCTGTGTCTGCTCTGAAAAGCAGTTGATAATGATGGCTGAGGGAACAATTTTTCCTGCCAGTGCTAATGCTCCCTGGAATGATAAGCATTGGCTAGTGAGACTAAGTGGGTAACTGCAATGGAATCGCTGTTATGTTACCGTAGAGAACAATCCCGCACTGGAAAATGAGTGAGCTAAATGACCTTATAAGTATTTTCCATCTGTAATTTCTTGCATATTAAGTACTCTTTCCAAGCTTTTTTCTCCATTTCCAGATAAATTGAAAGTCTCGATGTACCTAAAACAATGCAGCAAAACTCATGTTCCTGGAGGTGCAAGGCTCCTTCTTGCATGGGCTAAATCTCAACTGCATTTTTTCTTAGGAGGGGTTTTTCTGAGCAGAGAAAGCTGCTACACTCTGCTTGCTATGGCAGCTGGATGTATGGGAGGAAGGGAACTGGCAACACTGATTCACGCCCTGCAGGAAAAAGTTTTCCCTTTACCAGCAAATAAACATTTATAGCACGTGTTGTATCATCTGGGATTCAGTTTCTTTTCTAAATCAAGTGAACTCTTCTGCCGCACTTCAGAATCAGTTCAAAGATATTCTCTCAGGTCATTTATGACCCCGACTGCAAAATTCTAACGTGTTTCTAATAGTCTTTCCTGTTTCTGAGGATAGTTTCTTTTCTCAATTTATCCTTCTGTGAGGTTTCCAGCTCACCCACATTGATCTTGAAGTCCAAACACTGAGTAGTGACTTACAGCTAAAATCAGAGGGAGAAAACGAACTACTTTGAATTCAGTTTGAAAAAAAGGGTACATTTTCTTACCTTCCTTTCATTAGCTGCAAGCAAAGGTTAATAGAGGACCAGTAAAAAATAGCTAAATGGTGTGTATCTGCAGAGGGCACCTGAGGAATCTATAGTAGGACCTCTGCCACTTTCTTAAATAATGCTTTGCAGCTACAAAGGGAGTTTCTTTTAATACTTTTCCCAAGACTGAAATCTAGGTGAGGTCACTGGTGCTGGTGTATTGCTTCTAATCTATTTTGTTTAGCTGCTTTCTCATGAGTGAGCACCAGAAAACATATTGTGCTTGCAGAAAGTAAATTCAGTATTCAAATATCACAGCCAGAGGTATTTTAAAATGCTTTGGGGTACAATATTCAGTAAAATAACGAAACAAAAAAAAAAAGTTAAATCTAGTTCAGCCCATTTATTGACAAGCATAATTAGTCTGCCATGTTTCTGCGGAGAGAGTAAGTAACTGTCAACATAACAGTCCTTCTAGATATGCTGGCTAGCAAATATTATCATGGTTGTAAAATTGAAAGAAGCCAATGCAAAACCACAAGTCAGACACAGATCCATGAAGAGGGTAAAATCATCTTCTCCTTCACACTCAAGGCTGCCTCCTGCTTATGTGTGTGTATGTGTATATGTGTGTGTACATATATGTAAGCACAAGACGATGTGCATGTTTTTTCCCTGGAGGAAAAACTGTTTTCTTGGTGTTCTCCTTGATAAATCTGGATGTGAGAGATCCTGACAATTAGATACTCTTAGCAGCTGTGAAGCCTCTGGCTGTTGGAGATAGCTTTAACCCTTAATTTACCTCTGCTGGGTTCATGCACCTTTTTTAAGACTATTGAATTACCTTTTTTTTTAACTTCCACTAGCACTTTTTTCCTTGATACATAAAGCATGAACCCATGTAAAGTCCTGTTCAACTTTCTTCAAAGATGAGGGTCAGGTTTTATCACATGAGGTAGCTGCACATGAAGTTGGTTTTGATGTGTAGGCAGACAGTTTTTGTCTTTTCATATACCACTAGGCTTCCAGTCCTGTTTAACTTCCTTTTCTACTGCAGTCACTGCTTTTATTTCAAAGCAATAGTACAGTCATATTTAACTGGGTTTTGTTTGTTCGTTTGTTTTCATATCTATAAACATAAAGGTATAAACAGGGGCATAAATATTAATGTACAGCTATACAGAAGCTTACAGCTTGGAGGGGTTATGAGTAGGGGACAAAGTAGAGACAAACATTAGTTCAGACAAGAATTTATGTTAATCTGTTTATGGTAAGTAAAGTGTGGAACAGGAGGAAGAGCACTTTGACGTGATGGTTGTTGTGATGATTCCCTCACCCATTTATGGCATGCTCATGCAGTGCTTGGTACTTCCAGATGTTCAGGAAGGTATAGAGACCACCTGTTTCTCCAAGGACAAAGGAAGACTAAGTTTAGGACTATAAGAAATTGAGTATTTTTAGAAATGTCTTATAGATGAATAGGAAATGAATTCAGGCAGATGGTAATAAGTTTGAAGGTTATATCATAAAAGAAGTAGTAGCAAGGTTGAGCAAGGAGCTGACAGGTTGATAGACCCTCGAGGGGGTAACACTGGAAACAGAAAACAGATGTAACAGACTAGAGCAAACACAAGTTGTGAGGCAACCTCCTGTGGAAGGAGTTACATGACTGTCAGACAGGCTAACAGTCATACTGCAGAAAATTGCCAATTATTTTTGTTCTGTGTTAACCTGGAGCTAATCCTTCACTTGCTTAGGATTGCTATAGGTTAGAAGTTGAATAAGTCCATGAGGGAAATAAAAGAGAATGATGGCTATGTGTCATCAAAAAGTAGGAGTTGAGAGAGTTATAGAGTTGATGTCCTGCAGCAATGACTATATGTGAGCACTGGATAACTTTCTGTTTAATAAACTAGGCATAATTCAGGTCTTTACTCCTACTTTTTTAGCTTGGGCAGCTTGTTCAGTCATTCACAAGTAATTTGTGACCCACTATATATGCTGCTTTTTTGCGGTTCTTTGTGGAATTAGTTTGTGAGAAGCCTTCCCATGTGCTTGATGCTTCAGTTTCGATCACTCCTCTGATTTTAGATGAGACATGATTCAAATGGATCCTAAATAATTCTCTTGGATTAGAATGCTTCCTATGCCAGAAGTCCAGTTCACCTCCAGCCCTCAGTGACAATAACTCTTATCCAGATCCAAAGACAATGCTTAGTCTGAAAAACCAGTTAACTGAAGTCCAGGTCCAAGTCCTAACAGTTGGATCAGGACTATCACTGCTGGTAAAGACCTAGATCAAGAGTCAACCACAGAACATATAGGGATTATCACCCAGATATTTTCAGTTAGTTCATGTTTTGCTATAAAAGCATCTTAGTTTTTCAGTGAGAGAAACTCCTTTTATTCTCTCCTGGGACAATTTATAATTTCATTAGAAAGATTACTTGAGCAATACATTGTATTTCAGTTTCCCTTAAGCGTAGTTTCTCTCTCTCCTTCTACTGTCCTATGGATCTACATACTGTTGATTAGTTGCTAGTAAGACAAGAAAGAAATCAGAATTTTCTTCTCCTGCCCAATTGCTCCTTTGAAGACAAAAATTTAAGAAACAGGGCCAAATCTAGAGTAAGCTGTGACCCATGATTTGTAAGGAGGAGTGAAAAATTGCCACAGGAAGGAAAATACCATTTTTACTCTACCAGATTTTAGGACACAAATGATGAAGTGAATCTCATCAATAATGCAACTTCCAATTTGCTTTCACAAATGAAGTGGAACTAGAGTACTAAATTTTCTTTAGGACTTGATGATCTTGAGAGCTAGGCAAGGGAAACCCCTTCAAGTGAAGTATGCATGTTTTTAATAAAGGGACCTAATCTCTATTCATTGCTTATCTAGGGTAACCGCTGAGGGACTTTTTTGGATTAGAATCTTCACTTCCTATGAAAATCCAGTGTGTATACCTACCTGAAATGACCTCTTGCAATACTTCAGGATGTTTGTTAACATCACATTACAAAGCAATTTTTATAGTTTTAAATTTGTCTTTTACTCTCTTTAAAGTTGCAGGTACTTCTTTTCCTATCAATTTTTCTTCTGTTTTCCAAGTCATTTACTTTTACAGTTTCCCCTGTCTTTCTAAACACGATTTTTACTGCCTTTTTCATTTCCTTTTTCCGCATATTTCCACAACTGATAACTGGGAATGATAGTCAGGTCTGTGATCTTTCTCTACCAAATTCTACCTGTTACATACAAGAATTATAAAGTAATCAGAAGTTAAAAAGTAATTGATTTAAACGTTAAATTTGTCTGCTGGGTAGAGTTTGAGTTTAACTGTTGTCGTATAGCTGAACATACCGATTTTCATGTATCTGAAGAAATTTCATTTACTTAGTCAAAACTATTTGCCTTCCTTATATGCATGTATATATATGTACACACATACATGCCTATATTACTCTATATGTAAACATAGAGTCAAAGGGTTCTGTAAGCGTATGAAGTTCTTGACAGACATGTGATATGCAGAGGTTGCTCTGGTTGGAATCTCTATGGTTGGCAGCATGGGAGAGGGCTCATCTGCACTGCAATACCAGCTTCTAGCCCGGTGCTTTGGCTCATTGCAAAGACATCCTTTAAGATGCAGGAATTTTATCTTAAATTACTTCTGTCCTTCTAAAGCAGATCTTGCAGATGGTTCTCTAAGTGTAAACCAGCTTAGGACATGCAGCATGACAGGCTGAAATACAAAAAGTAGGGCCAAACAAGGAGCTCGTGTCATTCAGTATAGTTCTTGTGGCTCTAGGGTTTAGCTGATTTAGTTCAGCTGTGTATGGTGGTGCAAGTGAATGAATCCATTTGGTGTAGTAATTTTTTAGTGATTGCTGTTAGGTGACAATCTGTGTTAACATTTGAGTTGTTTTAATTCATTAACATATCCTGTCTGGCAGTGTAACATAGCCAAGGAATTAGTAAAATAATGACAAAAAAAAGAAAAAGGAAGAGAAAAGAGTGTGGGAGAGGTATATTGTCTGCTTAAGCATCAGTAGAGGGGGATCACATACACATAATTTGGACAGCTCTGTCCTATCCAGAATTTTCCAGTGCATGGGTTAACCAAGGAACAATTTAGGCACCTATGCAGAACTTCAGAGGTCTGCTGTCAAGAAGGAAATGGGAGTGAAGTCGTTTCATCATCCATTACCATGCTTCCCCCCTGGGTCACACAAAGTAAGAAATCCTCCCTATTTTTCTAAAAGGGTCTTTTATAAACTGAAGGGACCAAAAAGTAAGCTTCTTGTGCTGCCCTGGTACTTGCCGACTAGAGCAAGGTTACTGATAGTCTCTAAGTTATGAGTAATTTCTTCCCACTTGGTTGCTGTTTTGTAACACAACCTATTATGATCACTATATTTTAAACCTTTACTTTCCCTTTACAGGCTGCATTTTACATTGCTTTCCATACTATATCTTTTTCTTTTTTTTCAATGCTTAATAAATTATGCTCCTTAATTTGAATCATTTTTATTACCTACAAGTCGTCTTAAAATGAATGAAGGTGAAATTAAGGTATTGGTAGCAATAGCAAAAGTAAAGACCAAAAGCATGTTTGTTTTGAACTGAATAACATAAAAAAATGGTTTAATGAATTTCTAAAGGTTATTGTGAGGCAAAATAAGAATACTGTCTGAGTATAAGCATTTAATGCAAATTTGCAATTAGGATATGTAGAACACTGCTCCAGCATTATGGCTGCACAATGTATATATTTTTTAAATCAGAGATTAATAACCACAATATTGCTTACATTAAATCTGTTTTGTACCACTATTTTCAGTGGTCAGGCTGATTCACTCAGTGAAAAATTAATAACTTAATCTCTCTGTCTGAGTTGTTAAGTTTTGAAATTAAAACAATAATTTGGCATACCTGATGCTTCTTGCACTTTTGTTGCAGCCTACTACTTTTGAAAGTAGTTGTCCAGTTGTTTAGCAGCAGTATCTGTCAGACATTGATGTGGAAATTCCTCATAAATGTTGAATTGCATGTACATAGGCTGACTCTGCTTTGCCTGTGCAGTACATCTAAAGCATACCAGACACTGAAAACATTGGCAGATGTTTTCCAGTCCTTTGTCTGCCTTGACTATATAAACTAGTTTTCCACGGCTGTTGCTTATTACATGCTTGTACAATATCTACCAAACTGGGCCTTTACACAGTATTGAAGTAAAGCTGGTAAACAGCAGTACAGTGGAGGTTTTCCTCTTTAGGTGGAAAGCATCCGTTTCCAGGTGTATCACTTGAGAGGAGCTTCATGAGATAAGAAGTACCCAAAAGTTGCCATGAACCAGAAAATATGGTTCTCCAGTTCTTTGATGGTTGTACTATAAATGCCACTGGTGCAGTATTTACAAGAAGTAATTATTTTTTCAGTTGCTACCTTCTTTCTTCTACAAATATAGCATAGATCTGGACAGATCAGCCATCAAAAAAGCTGTTCTGAATCGTAAGCATGATGTCTTGTTGCAGATTATAGATACTAGCTGGGTAGAAATGGTAGCTGGAACCTCTCCAGCCACCAACCTCATGCAAAATCCTAAACCTTTTGAATCCCTAGTGGATATTATATAGTGACATGCTATCCAGGTATTGAATTTGACAGAGCTAATAATACTATTTATATGTATAATTATTGAAATTACCCATACCCTTTTGGTGTAACGGTGTTCAGTAAATTGGCATGCATAATTTATACATCATTGCTGTCAACCATCAATCCAACTGTGAGACAGCAACATATAAACTGAATGACAGAATAAAGTGTTTACGAGTTTATTCAGGACAAGATCACCATAAACTGTGACACTGGAAATATTCATATCATTTTTCAGTATTTGTATGAAATAGGATGCTCTCTTTGAGATTTCATTTGTTGCATTACACTAAAACCTCTTCAATAAACAATTTAGGAGACAACAACTACAGTACTCTTCAAAAAGACCCTGGGGACAGGATTTATTCTGGAAGTCAGTGTTATTATTTTTGTTTCATTTTTTGCTTTGGCTTAGTTTCAGCCTCTTATTGAAATGTCAGTCATTTAATAATGAAATGGAATCCTAAAAATTTGCAAATGGATACACCTTTGGGGCTCAATCAAGAAATACACTATGCAAACCAAATTCAACCATTATCATGCTAATGTAGAATAATAACTAAGACTTCCCAACTACACATTTAAACAAGAAATCCTTAAAGTAACTCTTGTCTTCACACATCTGAATATGCATCTCTGTGCAGGTACTGCCATAGCTTGAAATTACTTTAACATTCATGATACTCATCAAAATGACAGGGTACATTACATTCAAATGCCCCAGTCTCATTACATGGAACGTGCT